CTAAAAGCATGAATGCTGCCATCACAGGTTTTGAAAACTAGTTTTCATCGTGCGGATTTCGGGACACTCTTTTAGCTTAAATGCAGAAACAAATACGTTCGCCATAAAGGCTCCATGACATCATGACGGGGACAAAATTGGGACTGTGGAGTCAGGGGTCCGAGCTCAGTTCCCAAGAACAGGTCACCATCTGTTCATTGCGGTTTAATAAACGCAAACTGGGCCCTCGACAGACCTTGCACCATGTGTTGGGGCTTGCTGGACAAACAGAATGTGGTCCCTGGCAGCCTGGGAGGAGTGACAGATAAATGAACAAGCAGTTCCTAGAAAGCCTGACAAATGCTGAGTGGGCTGGACACCTGTGCAGAGTGCTGTGGGAGCCCAGAGCTGGGGACTTGGCTGTGTGGCTCTGGGTCAGTCACGTCCCTTCATTGGCCTCAATTATTTTCTGCCAGACAGTTGTGTTCAGCATACAAATGCTTAGCCCAGGGTTGCCCGGTCATCAGTAGCCACTGTCTTTCCCTTTCTGGAGTGGGAGTTCTCGAAATTTCCAAACCATTTAATCCACACCTGTCTAACCCACAGCTCTACCAGAGGTCTTGCCTTTTGCACGGGAACTGAGTCCTCCTTGATCTTCTTAATTTTCATACTCTGGAAAACCCCCAAAATTATGCCTCAAGGTTAACAGTAGCACATGGGGCCATATTTCCCAAATGCCTTCTGCCTCTGGTCCTTGTGTTCCCAGGTGGTATTTCAGTGGTCCAAGAGAGACATGCAGATTTCCGCTCTTTTTTAGAATCCACAAGAGGTCCAAACCCTTTTGTGTTATTTTGAGGACCTTGTTGAAGTTCTTGGAGTCACACTGGGAACAGTCACACTGGGCTCCCGGCAACATTCTGCCCCCTTATCCCCCCCATCTTCTCCTGTTCAATCCCAGCCAACACGTGGATTCATTTTTCTCTTCCTCTGAAGGCTGAGCGCAACTGATCCCAAGGCCTTAGGGAGACAGCTTGTGCTCCAAATAAACTTCTTAAGGCTTTTCTCCAAAAAAGGCCATTTTATCTAAGAGGAATGCCCACTGTTAGAGGCAATTTTCTCTCTCCCTTTACAGCTCATTTTATACTCATTAACAGCCCTCTGAGATTAGTGCAATAATTTCCACTTTATAGACGAGGAAATGGAGGCTCCGAGATGAAGTACCCTTGCCCAAGGTCACACAGCTAGTGAGCGCCAGGGTCTGGCTTCAAGCTGTGCTCCACCAGGCTCCACTGTTCCCTGTGGCCTATCTGAAGACAGTGGCCTGGGCTTCAGAGGAAGCAAGGAATGTTCCTGGTGCTCTGACCTTCCACCCCTGGGAGGTGTCTCTACTGCCTGGCGGGCGTTCACCATCCCTTCCCCTCATGGAAAAGGCGCCTCTGCCTGCTCCTTCCTTGAAGAAGAGCAGAAAGGTGTTTGAGGGCACAGATGCCCAGGTGAGCTGTGGGGAGAATTCTGGGGAAGCTGAGACCAGCAGTGGGAAGACAGGCCAGTGGTCAGCTGAGTACCAAGTGTGACTGAGTTCCGCATTGCCCTCTCCAGCAGGCCCCTGGTTCCCGAGGGTCAGGCCTTTCTGCTTTCAGTTTTCCACCTCCTCCCAGCATCCTGCCCAGGTGGCTTCCGGTCCGTGCTGACTCGCTCTCCGTGCCCCGTGGTATCACGGCGCATCGCAAACACAGGGGCCCTGGCCCCTCGCAGACTTCAGATCTCAGCCGTGCGCTCGCTGGGTGGCACAGCCCACAGAGTTCCGCTTTCCTCCCTGATGAGGCTAGTGATGCTTTCCTCCCGGACGGTGGTGAGGTCTGCAAAACGGGGCGGGGCATCCGGCCCTTGGCTTGATATATACTCCCTGGGGCCATCCAGTGCTGTCTCTGGGCTGAACGTGGGCTCCTGGGATGAGCAGACAGCACCCCTGCTCTCACACACGGGGCTTACATTCTAGCAGGCAGGGCTAACTTCTGAAAAGCTGCTGACTGTGAAACACGAATACGTAAAGATACAGTGAACGAGAGGAGAAAGAAATAGCCACTGAGCTATTTCTGAGCTCCAGCCTGAGCTCTGCCCAGGGACTCAGCAAGGACGTCTTCACAGAGGAGACAAAGTGAACAGGGAGTGAAAGCAGGAGATGGTATGGCCCAGCTCCAGCAGGGAGGGGGAAGGCGGCAGGGGGAGCACAGGAGAGAAGGTGGGAGAGGCCGGCTCTGCTTCCCTCTTGGGCAGACGCAGCACCTGTCCCGACTCTCCAGACCCCTCTGGTCAGGCGTGGCTTCTGACTTCACACACTAGGCATGGAGCCAGGTGGAGAGAAGTTCTTGGCCACTTGCTGGTCTTGCTACTCTACACAAATTCCTGGACCTGTCTGGACTTAGTTTATTCATCTGCAAAGTGGAGCTGGCAGTTAGTCCCTCCCTCATAGGGTCACAAGATGGAGCAGGTGACAGAACCCAGCACTATGGCAGCCGGCCATCAACGGTGTTTTGTTTTTATTGGTTCATTTGTGCTTTAAGGACACGTTGGAGATTCCCCCAAAAATATTTTTAATGTGGGCTGTGGTACATCTTAAGATGTTTAACAAGATGGACAACTCTTGGATTTAAAAGGGTCTTACATGTTGCTGTTCTCACTCTCTAAGGAGATGAGACGAGACAGCGCGGGAGTGATGGTCTTACTGGGGTATGGCGTCCGTTTTGAAGGCCCGCCCAGAGGAGGAGTGTCGTGAGGTTCTGATCAGGGCTGGGAGAGTTCTGACCTCTGGATCTGCAGAAAGGCTACAGCTGGGTGAGGCTGGTGGGGATGGACAGACTTCCCAGGCAAGCAGCTTCTCGATCATCCTGTGCTTGTACATGTGTCCTCATGCCTTCAAGATTTGTTGAACCAATTGGCCACACCACATCATAACCTCCCCCACCCCCGACTATGGGGACCACACTTTTCACCTTATTCTGTGTGGGCTCAGCACAATGCACCCTCAGCAACAGCTTGTTCAATGTCACATTTTCAATGTCACCCATTTGCTTTTGGAACATTGGCTCTCTTTTACACAAAGGGCCTGTGAACATGAATAATTGGGCTGTATAAGTGACCGTGAACTCCACAGTCAATCCAGAGCCAGGCCGCTCGCTGTCCCCAGTAGCATGGGAGCAGTTCCGAGCTAGTTTGCTAGGCTCCCTGACATTTCTGGGTATGCTTCTCAAAAGAAGACTGCTTGGAAGTGTGTTCCTCGGTAAGGCTCTGACACCGTTCACAGCGCATTTTTCCCTATAGGGGCAGGTTAGGGAACTCAGTTTGCAACGAGTCCCACCCTCTTTCTTACTGCTACATTGGCAGAAGGGCAGCCTTACCCCTAAATGCTCTTAGGGGACAGAATGCTAATACCCCTAAATTTGAATACCCTCCCAATGCTCTTAGGGTGATAGGATCTGTTATTTTGCATAAGGATGCTTCGCGGCACAGCCACTTCGAAGACGTTCAGAGTAGAGATGGCATACGGAGCTTTATAATTTAAATCACTATTCTTATTGGTGCAAAAGAAAAACCACAATATACTGAGTGCTTATTAAGTTCCAGGTACAATTCTAACAGCTCTGCAAACTCTGCCTCCTTTAGCCATCCCCCCCTCCATCCCACTACCCCTGGTGAGGTTAGTACTATTGTTATCTGCATTTAAGAAACGAAATAGAAGATGGACCCAAAGAAATGACAGAACTTGGTGAAGTCCTATAGGTAGTATGGAGGGAAAATACTGATTTAATCTTTAGCCTGCGCTTAACTACTTCCAGCTACGATAGTCAACACAAGAACTTATGGGGATGCTGATCACAAAAGAAGTTATGCTTCTATTATAAGAAATGCCTAAGCTTTACAGAAGGACTTCACACGTGGGGATTTTTGTTTTAAGTGTTCAGTTTGTTGTAATCTGTTTTGTACAAAAGCATCTATTCTATATGAAGTATAAACAGAAGATGGGTGCTAAAATAAGACAGCCAGTGTTATATATGGGGGTCTGGGACCACGTGGGAAAGGATGGCACAGCAGTAGAGTGTGAAGGCATGACCATATCCATTCCTAAAGTGTGTTTATTTATTTATTTAGAGAAAGAGAGTGTATGGGCAGGGGGAGGGGCTGAGGGGGAGAGAGAATTTCAAGCAGACTGCTCTGTGAGCACGGGTTCTGACGCAGGGCTCCATCTCACAACCCTGACATCATGACCCGAGCCAAGATCATGACCTGAGCTGAAATCAGAGAGTCAGACACTTAACTGACTGAGCCACCCAGGTGCCCTTGATTTTGCTTTTAGCATGATGGCTCTGGAGGGGTCCGTTTGGAAAAAAATTGGAAAGGAGAGGAAGGAGGTCAAGGGTTGTCGTTGGAAGCTAGGGAATGATGAGCCGTGTTGTCAGTGGAAGGAGGGGAAATTGCAAAAGGTAGTGAGCGGCACCTGTGACGGTGTGGACAGACCGAGCGCTGAGCTGGTGGCTGGATTTGCAGTCTGTGCACCTCAGTGCGGTTAATGAGAGCGAGGGGGCTGGTCTCCCAACGGGAGAGCCTGTGGCTGGATTAAATATGAGGCAGGTCAGAACTCCAGCAGCCATCTAAATGAGTATATCCCTGGAGTGTTATGTGCGCTGTTGGTGGTACTCAGGATGGTTTTCAGGGGTACCCTGATGAACCTTTAAGAATTCCACAATTTTGCATTTTTTAATGGTTAACATTTATGTATGCAAGTGATTCGGGTTTCCCCTTTATATAGTTACATTTTCTTTTAGAGGCATGCAGTTATGTAAGAAAAAATGTTTGATTTACAGAAAAATGTTAATTAAATTATATTCTCTGTGGCCATAGTTATGAAGGCTATGGATGAGCTAAGTCTGGAGGGCCAGTCCCCTCTGTTTTGGGAGGACACCCCCCCACCCCATTTCCCGATGGTCCTCAAAGCCCCTGTGTCTTGCGTCTGTGTCTTGCAGACCCCGTGCATGGCCCACAGAACGTGGAGATTGTGGACATCCGCGCGCGGCAGCTGACCCTGCAGTGGGAACCGTTCGGCTACGCAGTGACCCGCTGCCACAGCTACAACCTCACCGTGCAGTACCAGTACGTGTTCAACCAGCAGCAGTACGAGGCCGAAGAGGTCATTCAGACCTCTTCCCACTACACCCTGAGGGGCCTGCGCCCCTTCATGACCATCCGGCTTCGGCTGCTGCTGTCCAACCCCGAGGGCCGGATGGAGAGCGAGGAGCTGGTGGTGCAGACAGAGGAGGATGGTGAGTGGCGGGGGGATGGGGTGGGGGGTGCTTCGTTGGGGATGGGCAATGCTGAACCTGTCCCAGGGCCACACCCATCAGTGATGCGGTTTTCTTTCTTCCTCCATCTTTAATTTCCTCCTCTGTAGCTGCCTCTCTGCCAGGGTTTTTAACGAAGGGCGTTGCACAACTCCAGGAGGCGCTGTGCCCGTATACTCAGACACGCACTCAGATTTGCCCCGTCCACACCCCCATCCCTCTTCTCACTTGCTAGCCCTTTCTGTGTCTAGTGTTTAGCCACACCAGGACCTCCCAGAGAGGCATTGTGGATCATGTCATTTCAGTGCATTGAATCTGGGAGTCAGACCACTCCGGATTCTGCAGGAGTTAAAATTAAAAAATACATGTAAATTTCATAGCACAGGCATTAGATGCACCCAGAACCAAGTACTCACCCAGATGTCCGACAGGCAGCTCAAACTCGAAGTATCCAAAAATGAACCAGTCTCCCCTTCCATACCGATTTCTCATTCTGTGTTCCTCGTGTCAGTGAACCGCTTCCAGTAGACCAAAATAAAGACCTGAAATGAGCCTGGGGACCCTCCAGTTCATCTCCCCACCCTCACCCCACTCCCTGCCCCCACAAGGTTCTGATGAGTCAGTTTCATGCAGTTTACCTCCCAGCATGCCCCCTACCTTGAGACTCAGACACTTCAGAACCACGTGTAACTTCTAGAACATACCACTTCCCCACCTTCTGTCCTTGCCCATGCTGTTTCTCCTACTGCCATGGCCTCTCCCTCCATGTCTGTGAGACAAGCTCTCTTCAAGTCTTAGCACACATGCTGCTTCCTCCAGGAAGCTTTCCCTGATTGCTCCAAGCTGACGTGGGCATTCCCTCCCAGGCTCGCACTGCATTTTGCATGGAACTCCACCACAGCAGTTATCTCATTTCTGGGAAGACAGAATTTGCTGGTTCTAGGATGTATCTAGAAAACACTTCTCAATGGCTGTATTTCAGTTTTCCTTCCAGCCATACTCTCTTTGGCTTTGTGGGGACATCTTTAGTTATGTCTTTGGAATCAGACTGTGAGGGATAGATAGATTTGGGTACAGGTGATGGATTAAGGAAGCTTTCCCCAGGGAGTCTAGGAAGGGAGGTGAGGGCAGGACAAGGAAAAGGAGGAGGATAAGGTGCAACTTCAGACCATGTCCAGGGAAGGGGGCGAGACCTGGTCAGCAGGAGAGCTCTGCAGAGAGCTCATGCATCACTCTTCCCCCCGATCAGGGAAGGGAGCTGTCATCGTGGTCAGGGCTGGGATGCAGAAGGAAACTTGGGAAGGAAATGCTCAGGAAGTGTTGGACATGAAGATGGAAGGTGGAGGGGCACAACAAAGGGATGGGACAGAATGGTCAGAGCACTGTCCTTGTCAGCCACCTGAGGCACATCTCCACTTGACCCAGGCAGACCACAGAACTCAAGGCAGAGCCTCTCCCATGGCAATCCCACCTAACACTCTTGTTTCACATAATCAAGTTCAAGGACCCTGAGGGATGGCCCCCGCTGGGGTCCAGACCCACATCCTCACCTGCAGAGTCCCCTAAGGAGAAGGAGGAAAGTGTGCCCGCCTCTGCTCATCCTGTCCCCCAATTGTCCTTTCCCCAAATCCTGTCTTAACAACTGGAAGTTTTACACAACCCACCTGCATGGCAGACCCTTCGTGACCAGCCTTTAAATTCATCATCACAGCTACTCTGCAGGACGTCGTCCCTGCAGACTCGGCTTCTGTAGACAGTAACTGCAGTGGACACCCAGTCTCTGTCGCCTTGGCGCCCCACCTTCGTGCCTTGCAGCAGACCTCTGTCCTCTCTGGGCACAGTTCTCCCCCAGATCAGCCTTGTCAGGTCACCGGAGTGCCTTGCTTCCTGTGAACCCATTCTCATCCGACCTCCAGCAGAGGGCTGAGCATCTGATATGAGCTTCCCTCTGCACCCCAGGAGCTGTGGGCCTGTGTTTGGCTCGAGGGAAGCTGCCGGCCCTTTCCCTGGAGGGCTGTGCCATTTCAGAGATGCACAGCGCCCCCGCCAGCAGGTACAAGAACTTGCAGCTACAGAGGCCGAACTCTGGAGCAGCACACCTGGGACAAGCCTCTTACCCCCTCCGTGCCTCTGTTTCCTCGCCTCGCAAATGCAGATCCAAAGAGTGGCCACCTGATAGGTTGTTATGCTCATTGAAAGGGACGTTATATAAAGAATTTGGAATGTGGTCCCCTGGCTGGCTCAGTGGATAGAGCACGTGACTGTTGATCTCGGGGGTTATAACTTCAAGCCCCACATTAGATGCAGAGATTACTTAACAATGAAATCATAAAAAAAAAGAAAAGAAATTGGAATGATGTCCAGCAGGCTGTAGGTCTTCAATGAATGTGGCTGTCACATTTGAATTAAGCCACAGAAGAAAAAAATGTCTTGACAAAGGATCCTAGAGCACAAGCAAGGCAGAAACCAGCAGCCTGCCCTAGGACACTTCTCCAGAGCTCTAGACATGCGCTCCAACAGCTGGAGAAAACCTGACCTAGACTCTTAAGCCGTGGTGATGCGGTCAGCGTGTGATCTGAGAAGCAGAGCCAACGCAGGAAGGGTGGTTCCGTGGCAAGCGGTTATGAGACCTCTTGGGAGGAGCTGCCACTGTTGAAACTCAGCCTGGAAACTCAGGGGTCCACGTGAATGCTAGGGTTTAGCCCGGGAGCAGCCCTGGGTGCTTCCTCCAGGATGCTCTGCAGACGTCGGGCTGCTTTGGGAGGGTTACCTACATGTGCAACAGCAAATCCCAAGTCCCGTCTTGAAGCCATGCCTCAACCTCTCCCTTTCCTGTCACCAGGCAGGGGAAAAAAATCACAAAGTCTTTATCAAAATAACTTGAGAGCAGCAATGCTTTGAAATTAAACTTTAATTAAACACCATTAATAAAACATCAATTCCTCCTCTGCAGAGACATGTGGACATTATCATATTAAAAACACCCACATCCAAGACAGCGGTCCTCTGTCTCACAGCGACAGGACCTGCGGTGTTGAGGGAAGATTGCCGAGGAGCGCGGGTCCCTCTCTCTGGTGGGATCCACTTTCATGAAGGGAAGGGGCACCATTCCTGTTGACGGGGAACTCATTCACCTCAAGGGCAGGCTGAGGACGGATCGTGGCTCCAGTGGATTAGCTGAAACCCCCCTCAGGGAGCCACAGAGCAGCCTCTCAGACTGAGCTGCCTGGATTCACGCTGCTTTTGTCTCTGCTCCAAAATTGTCTTCTGGGGAATTTGTAGAATTGGCAATTTCAGTGACCCAGTGCCTTTGAGGGCTTACAAAGTAATCCATCCCTGGTGAAAGAAGCTCATGGCCACTGAGCTCCATTGCATTCGTTGGGAAGCAGCTAGGAAGCTAAATGGGTTCTTTATTTGTTCTTTTTTCACATATGACTCAGACAAAACTGTGGCTTACTTATTCAGTGCTTCCTTCTCTGCCTTTCCCCAGACCGCAGTCACGATTATGAAATGGAACGTATGAGACCTTGAACCATAAACGCAATGCTGATAATGGTCTCACTTTGGCTACCACTTAGGTTTACTATGCGCCTGCCCCATGCTAGGCATTAATGGGCCCGTTATACGCAACAACTCCTACCCAAGATTTTCTTGTGAGATGTTTCCAAGCTGTAGAAAGATTGAGAGGAGTGCAAAGAAGACCTGTGAACCGCTGGCCTAGATTCACCATTGGTGAACACCGTGCTTAATTTTCTTACTCATGTTTATGTATGGTATGTCTGAAATGGAGGTATCACATATAAAAATACATGTAATATTTTTAAGTCTTTGAAAGTAAATTGCAGAAACCCCAACACCTGATCCCTCAGCTCTCTGAGGGCGTACGTTACCTGGAGGTAAGGATGTTCTCCTACACAGCCATGATACTATAGGACATTTAAGAAACTTAGCATTAGTTAAAAATTAATCAAGTAGACAATCCAAATTCACATTTCCAATCATGTTAAGCATGATTTTACGTGACAAAACCAGAAAATGAGACATTGACAAAAACGCCACATAGGTTGGTGATGTGTATTTTTCACTGCATTGTATCTAGAGTTACATAATGTCAGAGAGGCCTTGACGTGTTGCTTTCATTACTCAGATTTAAAGCTCTCTGCTGTAAATACGGTCCTTTTCCCTTTGTAGATCAGCTACTCTGTGCAGTGTTTCTTTGAGGTCTGGTGAGTCCCTGATTCTCCCACAAACTTCTCACCCAATAGTTTTAGCCTCCTTGAAAATTAAGTGGTTACTACATTGGTCTTTATAAAAGAATGAATTTTGTTTTATTTATCTATCTGAGAGAGAGAGACAGAGATAGTGATAGGGAGCTTGAGTGGGGAGGAGAGGGAGAAGCGGACTCCCCACTGAGCGGGGAGCCTGATGTGGGGGCTTGATCCCCAGGACCCCAGGATCTTGACCTGAGCCAAAGGCAGACACATCACCTACTGAGCCACCCAGTCACCTAAAAGGGTGAATTTGAAATCTGTCATTTCTTCTACATGTATTAATTAGCATTCTTCTTTATAGAAGGGTTTTCTTTCCCCATTCCCTTCCCCATTTTTAATATTCCTGTTGACTCTTAAATCATTTGCTTTTGACTCCTTGTATTAAAATCCAGTACTATTTATAATTCTCTTCGATGCTTGCATTGTGTCATCTGTGGCTAGTGGGTTGACTCCTAGGTTCTTTTGACATGTTCTCATTACTCTTGCTTGCTTCTGCCATAACAAAGTATTCTAGATCACCCTTGTAATATCTCTGCCCCAAACCTGAAGTCAGCCACTTATCTAAGGATTTCTGGTTGCTTTCAGTGGGGAGTGGTATTTTGGCATGAAGATATACATCTTAGCTTGATCGATGGGGTGTTACCGCTTCTAGACTCTTCAAGTAGATAGGATGGAGGGATATGATTTATCTGTTTTAAATCACAATGTTGT